TTTTCCTATTTTATAATTTGTTTCTTGCAGATCCCATGTGCCTCACCATCAAATGCCCAGCATGCACCCATGATCTCAACCATCAAATCCATCACGTGATCAGATCTAAACGCTCAGCAAGCAAAGAGCATGGTAGACCCTCCAAAGGCGAACCACATTGGATCCAGCGTTGAATTGGGCCAGCTATTCTGGGCCTGGAAAATTCCAATTCACACCCCCCAAATTGCTTCCAGCATCAGGCCCATTTTAATTTTTGTTTTAATTTCTTTAACTTTTTTTATTGTTTTATTTATTTTTAATTGTTTTAAAAAATCTTTTTTTAATAAAATCTTAAAATCATAAAAACACAAAAAAACATTACAATTAGTTTTTTTCAAAAAATATTTAATTTCATTAATTAATTAGGATAATTAGGATAATTTAAATTCCTTTTTCATAATTAAAATTAATTAGAAATTAGGTTAATTTGAAAAATTAATTACTTTCTCAAAAAATCCAAAAAAATATTTTTTCTTTATTCACTAATTAAATGTCTTTGAATTAAACTTTAATTCCTCGTATTTAATTTATTCTCGCACGCATTTATTTTTTTATTTATTCCAATTATTGTATCTGTTTCGAGTTTGTAATAGCTTTTAACTTAGGTTTATTACTGCTTTTATTTACCGCTTTTATTTCCCCAGTTTGGTTATGTAACCCCCTCCCCAAAGCCTTGTAATAGTTAGGTTTAAAATTCTCGCACTTTTACTTTTCGTCATTATAAACTTTTAGATGATTGATAATAGGATTGTATGCGAAAGATAAATCAATAATTTAAAATAGTAGAAAACCCTAAATGTGAAAAGATTAAATAAACTGAAAAATAAACACTTGCACATGCTCACTCCTAAGGTTTTTCCCCACTTCGGTTGCCTTCGGAAAACTGTCACTATTCTCGAAACGTGAGAATTTTTAGTGGTTGTCCTCTAATTCGAAAGATCACTAGTCCCTCGATGACCCTTTCTATGTTGCCTCGGTAAAAAAAAGTGATCTTAGAGTTTTAGGGTAATTACTAAAAGATCTTGCCCTGTTGCCTTAAGTGACCGTAATCATCCCTTTCGATTGTCCCTTAAACTCCAACGATGGAGCTACCTACTCCTTAATAGTAGGATAGCGTTGTCTAAAGGAAATAAGAAAAACAAACATTCTTTTTTCGAGTAGGTAGAAACTCTTAAGTACTTGCTCAAAAGAATCTTTTACACCATACACTTTCAAACAAACTTTTCAAACAAAAGTTTTCAAAACGCTTTATCACACCCTTGAGGACCGATACAAGGGTTACCATAAAGTGAATCGCCGCACTAAGGAAATTTCAAAACTTTTTAAAAGCACGCAAACACACAAAAGCAATTTAAAAATGAGCAAGTACCTAAGAGCCTGTGGAAAACCATAGATAGAAAGGGTTCTAACACCTTCCCTTTCTATAATCTACCCCCTGTACTCAGAAACATCTCGAAAAAGGTTTTTTCTGTTCTTTTTCCCTTTTCCTTTGTTGGATGAAATAAAAGACAATGGCGACTCTTGCTTACCGTACATTTGCAAACAAAAAATGCAAAACCAGTAGTAACAAAAAATACTCGATTCTACCACCGTATCACAATAATCAATGCACATGCGCCATTTTCCATTAGATTTCTTTACAAGAACTATATTTGAGAGCCAGATTGTGTACTGGGCTTCATAAATAAAATGTGCCTCTAGGAGGTCTTTTACAGCTAGTTCGGCAGCCTCCGTTTTTTTGGGGGACTATTTTCTTATGCGCTGGGCGACCGCCTTGAGGGCAAGGTCTATGGTCAGGTGATGACATGTAATATCTTGGTCCTATCCGGGCATCTGAGTTGCGCTCCAGGAAAATATATGAGCATTCTCTCTTAAGCAAACTTTAAGTTGCCTCTTCGCTAAGTCAGGGAGGTCAACTCTGATCTTTACTCCTTTGATGGGATCGTTCTCGAGGGGGGTGATATCAAAGGGTCCGTCTGGGATGGGTCGTGCGGGATCTGAGAGTTCCTCGCTATCTGCAGATAGGGATGAACCTTCGCCTTCGACCATGGGCTATTTCCCTTTCTTTCTCTGCTCTGCATAATCCTCTTTGGAGAAGCGACTGTTAAGATCGATGATGTCGACCTTTGGCAATGTCTTGGCTTCCTCGGAGCTAGGGGCAGTGCGGCCCCGATGGTTGTTCATGGTTGAGCATTGATGGAACTCAGGCCCCTGGCCGGGGCTTCAAAACATCTTCTCGTAGCCTAGATGTCCCCATGGAGGATGGCGACCAAACCCTCTACAGTTAAGTACTTCATTTTGAGGTGTACGGTCGAGGGCACCGTGATCAGTTCGGCCATAGTGGGTCTCCCGAAAATACATTAGTATAGAGATGGGTAATCCACTACTAGAAATTGAGTCTTGATGGATCTGCCGGTTACCCCTCTCCCGAAGGTGACGATCAACTTGACATACCTCTAGGGTTTGGTACTGGCTCTGTTGAAGCCCTGGAGATCCGAGCCCACGTACGGGGTTAGGTGGCTTTTTTTCAGCTGTAGGGTAGCGAAAAACTGGGTGTACATGATTGTTGAGGGCTCGTCGCTTTTTGAGGACTTGGAACTCTCTCGGTGCGTTGACTCCCTGGCACTGTTGGCGGCTTCTTTCTTATCTTATTGAATGTATACTTGAGCCTTGAGGAGGAGGGAGTCGAGTGTGGCTGGTGATTCGATGTCCACTTCTTTTGCAAAGTCGCTATAGGGACAGAGCCCACGTTCAAGAAGGTATTTCTTCATGGTGTCGGTCGTGGAGACTTGTACTGCTTCTTTGCTGAAGTGCTCGATATATGCTCGCATAGACTCGTCTTTGCCCTGGATAATTGCTTCAAGTGAAGCCTCTGATTTTGGATGTCGACTGGAGGCGGTGAAGTTCCTCGTGAACATCCTCCTTAACTGTTTCCAGGAGGTAATAGACTCGTCTGGGAGGCGTTTGTACCAATACATTGCTCCTTTCCTTAGGGTAGTCGGGAATAGTCTACACTTTATGGCTCCACTGACCCCTCGGTAGTCGAGGAGGGCATCGATATTCTCTATGTGTTCATCAAGATCAGTCGTACCGTCATACGTTCCCAACAGAGTTGGCTTTTCCAGGCTGGCTGGGAGTTAGGTCTCTGTAATTTCTCTTGATAATGGGTCGTGGGGCTCGTCGTCGTCGCTTTCTTTAGAGGATGAAGGTGGGGAGTGATAATTCCTTCCTCGTCGAGCGTTGCTGTCTCGTCGAAGGGAAGGGCTTCTTCGGTGTTGTCTTGGTTTGGGCGACGATGATCCGTCGCGGTCAACTTGGCGGTCACTCTTCTTCTTCTTGGAGGATGGAGTGCTTTGGTCCTTCATGGGGGGTATTCAGTTGCGTTTCTTGAAGAAAGAAACGCCACGCTTCTCCATTCTTGGCAGACAATCACGTTTAGGTGGGGATATGCTGGGGGAATCATGTCGTATGTGTCTCTGAGGAGGAGACTTTGACTACTTCTTCTCCCAGGCCCTTATCTTCTTGTTCTACTGCATGATAAGGGCGTTAGTCTGGTTGATCGCAGTGAGCAATGTTGCAATGACCGGGTCAGCGTTATGAGGAATGAAAATTGGTTGCAGAATCTCCGACATTTTCTCAGTGGGGTTCTTGGGACGCTGTTCGTCCAAGAACTAATGGTCGTCGCGCTGAGCATCGACTGAATTTGGGGATGCAGTCTGGCCGTCGCAGAAGCTGATGTTATCCCTGAGGTGAGGATGTTCTTGACTTCAGTCGATCTTATGCGTTGGGGAAAGTGCAGTCTTTCCAGATGGGTGGTGATCATCACGGTCGGCCATGATTGTTGAATGAGGAGGATCTTTGGTCTTCAGATTCCGGGGAACAGAAAACAGGAAAGATAGTTCCCACAGACTGCGCCAGTGATCTTACCGGTTGATCAGAACTTGCAAGATGGTCGGATGATGATCATCTGTCGGGATGGAACGTCGAGGAGGAAAAAAAGGGGTTGTACCTGCAAGGCGCTCCGACGATCAAGTAAGTGTGGGAGCAAAGACATACAAGCAAAGTATTAGGGTTTTAATGGTGAATAGTGAATATTCGATATCTGGCCCTCACATGTGTGAGAGTTTATATAGTGCTCGTGGCGCTTGGTCATTGGTTCCTATTTTTGGGCTTAGATATGCGGGTCAACAAAAATAGATAATTGCCCGGACTTGGTCAAACTGGACAGGTGTTGCTGTAACTAGCCGTTGGTTCCGAGGAGGAGGTAGGTTACGGACAGCGGTCTGGTCGATTCTTGGTTGCCTGGCCGACTTGAGATCGAGCAGATTGAAAGGCATTCGTCGGTCGTCGTAGGTCGATGCTGGTCTAGAACGGCAAACAATCGATGATGCTCAACAGAGAATAATAGAGCCTGGGCCACAATCGTACAGATCGTGCCAAAGGAGGAGATCAGACTGAAGCTCCTCTAGCCGTTAGGCTGATCCAGAATAGTTAGTATCACGTAGTCTTATGAATTGATTTTGATTAATAAAAATAACGAATAAATCAACGTGGTCCAATTATAAAGTTATGGAATCAAAGTAATCTTTTGAAAAATTAAGTATTAAAATGGTCATCGATTCAAAGATAAAGAACGAAAAAAAAAAAATCTCATTAATTGGATATTAACTCTTTTTTTAAATACTCGAAGTTATAAAGTCCCAAAGCTATTATCATATTTATTCAAAACCATAATTTTTCTTAAAAGCTATAGACTTTTTATTGAATGACATGTGGACCACTCTAATCTAAACATGTTAAATGTGTATGATGGATAAAAAAGTTAAAATAAAGTAAACATTATACGCACTAGTGTCCCCCTAATCTAATTTGGACCATCCCCCGACCGCATGCACATATATAGTACATACTAAGCCTAAAGTAAGACACACTGACACTACCGTTTGCAGTTTCTTACCATCATGGATTTTCTCAACTATTTTTCCAAAATTACCTACATGTACTCCTTTCTCTTCTTTTTGGCGCTGTTAAAAATAGTAAAAACATGGAGTTGTAAAAAATCCATTGTTAATTTACCACCAGGACCATCGACACTGCCTATCATAGGAAACATACATCAGGTTTTTAGCAGCTCAACGCCTCAACATTGCTGTAAAAATTTGGCAAAGAAATATGGACCTTTGATGCACCTAAAACTTGGTCAAGTTGCACACATAATAGTTAGTTCACCAGAAATGGCAAAAGAGATCATGAAAACACAAGACCTGGTATTTAGTGATAGGCCAAACCTTATGTTGTTCAGAATATTTAGTTATGATACTAGAGATATTGCTTTCTCTGCATATGGAGAATATTGGAAACAATTGCGAAAGATATGTGCTATAGAGCTGTTAAGTGCAAAGCGTGTACAATCATTTAGGTCCATAAGAGAAGAAGAGTGTTCAGCATTAGTTAAATCAATATATGCAAGTGAAGCCTCTATTGTTAATCTCACAGAGAAGATTTTGTCGATTACTTGTGGGATAATAATGCGGGCTGCTTTTGGGAAAAAGAGTAGACACCAACAAGTGTTCAAATCAACTATAGATCAGGCAATAAACCTAATGGCAGAATTTTGTATTGCTGATTTGTATCCTTCGTTTAAATTTCTTCAAAGGGTGAGTACGACCAGGACCAAAATGGTAAAACTTCGAAGAGAGCTTGATATAATATTGCAAGACATCATCAATGATCACAAAAGCGTTCATCGAGACGCAAACAAGGATGAAGATCTAGTTGATGTTCTTCTCAAGATTCAACAGGAAAGTGATCACAAACAACATCGCTTGACTGATGAGAGCATTAAATCCGTCATCCTGGTTAGTCTCTATATAATTAATTTTTTTATTCTGTTGTTAGTGATTTTTATATATTATAAATTAGATCAATACAGTAATAGAAGGCAAACGGACAACAAGCTACGCTGCTGCTCTATATAATTATTTTTCAAATTTTAAAGATTGGTTTAAAAATGTCCTTGTTGATCCCTTTTGCAGGATATGTTTGCTGCTGGTAGCGAATCATCGTCAGGGATAGTTTTATGGGGGATGTCTGAGATGGTAAAGAATCCAAAGGTAATGGAAGAAGCTCAAGCTGAAGTAAGAAGAGTGTTTGATAAAAAAGGGTATGTAGATGAAACAGATTTGCACCTGTTGGTATACTTAAAGTGTGTCATCAAAGAAACAATGAGGCTGCATCCTACATTACCATTGTTGATTCCAAGAGAAAATAGGGAGAAATGTAAAATCAATGAGTATGATATTCCAGCTAAGGCAAGGGTTGTTGTTAATGTTTGGGCAATTGGAAGAGATCCAAAGTATTGGGTTGAAGCCGAGAGTTTCAAACCGAAGAGATTTCTTAATAGCTCAATTGATTTCAAAGGCACAAACTTTGAATACTTACCATTTGGTGCTGGAAGGAGAATGTGTCCAGGTATTGCTTTTGGCATACGGAACGTCGAGTTGCCTCTTGCTCAGTTACTTTACCATTTTGATTGGAAGCTTCCCAATGGAATGAAGAATGAACAACTTGATATGACTGAGTCATTTGGAGGAATTACAGCAGGAAGAAAAAATGACTTATGCTTGATACCTATTACTCATCGTCTTTGATACGCATTGCGAGAATGACTTGTGAAGTTTTCCTATACTATTTTCAGCACTTAATAAGATAGCAAATATCATTCATTTCTCCCATGAAGGATAAAGTTTGTAATTGCAATACTTACAAATAAGCTTACTATATATAGGCTATTGTAACAGAAGAAAAGTTTACTATATGCTAGAAACAAATACTTTATGCTAAAATGTTGTTGCATAACATTAACTAGAGAAAAATCTTTTCCATGATTGCCAAGGAAGAAATCCACCTGAAATATATAGCATATGAAGAATGATTTCAAAACATTATTAACACTAAAAATGTGACCGAAAGAATGAAAAGGCTTATAAACATACCGCATTCGGGACAACGAAAATAGTTCTTTTCAATAGAAACAAGTCCTGACCCTCCACAAGTTTCACATTTTCTTTGAGCAATCTGTAACAAATATTCAAAAATGGAAAAACAAAGAAACACACAAGAATGAGATTCACAATAACTTGTGAACTAGCAATAAATAACCAAAAAATCGACTTACAATTCGCTTGCTAAATTCAATTCCAGCCACCACAAAAGGTGTAATTCCAGCTACAAATTTCAAATCAAAGAAACAATCAAAATCATACACATATTGAATTAAACACTAGAGAGTGTTGTTTGATAGATATATTATTATTATTATTATTATTACCTATAGTTCCAACAACAATTTGCCATGTGATTTCAACTGGAGCTGGATCAATTACTGTGGTTAGATCACTCACAGACACAACACATGTCCTTGTTTTTCTTCTTGTTCTTGAATTCTTAAGCCATAAATCACTGGTTTTTCTCACTGTTAAGGAACAATAATTCTTTGAAACTGTGTTTCTGGCTTTTGCAGTGGTTAAGGAAGGTAGAGAACAACAAACTAATGCTTCCATAGTAACTGAATCAAACTAACAAGTAACATCGAAAACCCTTTTCAGCTTACAAAACTCAACACAACAATACGCAAATGTTTTAAATACGCTACGTGGGTTTTTTTCAGCCTACAGGCTCGCATCCTCTCTCCACCACACATTATTATTATTATTATTATTATTATTTTTATTATTATTATTATTATTATTATTATTATTATTATTTTTATTATTATTATTATTATTATTATTATTATTATTATTTTTATTATTATTATTATTATTATTATTATTATTATTATTATTATTATTATTATTATTATTATTATTATTATTATTATTATTATTATTATTATTATTATTATTATTATTATTATTATTATTATTATTATTATTATTATTATTATTATTATTATTATTATTATTATTATTATTATTATTATTATTATTATTATTATTATTATTATTATTATTATTATTATTATTATTATTATTATTATTATTATTATTATTATTATTATTATTATTATTATTATTATTATTATTATTATTATTATTATTATTATTATTATTATTATTATTATTATTATTATTATATTATTATTATTATTATTATTATTATTATTATTATTATTATTATTATTATTATTATTATTATTATTATTATTATTATTATTATTATTATTATTATTATTATTATTATTATTATTATTATTATTATTATTATTATTATTATTATTATTATTATTATTATTATTATTATTATTATTATTATTATTATTATTATTATTATTATTATTATTATTATTATTATTATTATTATTATTATTATTATTATTATTATTATTATTATTATTATTATTATTATTATTATTATTATTATTATTATATTATTATTATTATTATTATTATTATTATTATTATTATTATTATTATTATTATTATTATTATTATTATTATTATTATTATTATTATTATTATTATTATTATTATTATTATTATTATTATTATTATTATTATTATTATTATTATTATTATTATTATTATTATTATATTATTATTATTATTATTATTATTATTATTATTATATTATTATTATTATTATTAATTATTATTATTATTATTATTATTATTATTATTATTATTATTATTATTATTATTATTATTATTATTATTATTATTATTATTATTATTATTATTATTATGTATTATTATTATTATTATTATTATTATTATTATTATTATTATTATTATTATTATTATTTATTATTATTATTATTATTATTATTATTATTATTATTATTATTATTATTATTATTATTATTATTATTATTATTATTATTATTATTATTATTATTATTATTATTATTATTATTATTATTATTATTATTATTATTATTATTATTATTATTATTATTATTATTATTATTATTATTATTATTATTATTATTATTATTATTATTATTATTATTATTATTATTATTATTATTATTATTATTATTATTATTATTATTATTATTATTATTATTATTATTATTATTATATTATTATTATTATTATTATTATTATTATTATTATTATTATTATTATTATTATTATTATTATTATTATTATTATTATTATTATTATTATTATTATTATTATTATTATTATTATTATTATTATTATTATTATTATTATTATTATTATTATTTTAGATTAGGTACTCATTTCTATTGTTTTAATTTAAGAATTTGAGTTTTGATGTTCTGTTGTAGTTTGGTGTCATGACAGGTGTTGTGAATATTGTATATCATTGTGCCCAGTCTGTAGTGGATATCCTGAACCAAAAAGAACACTCAGAGCCTTAAGGAGAACTAGACTTGCTATACCCACACCAGAAGTTCCTCTTGCAGCTAATCTGGATGATTTAGGAGAGCTCGAAGTACAATACCACACCAGTTGATTCAGACGAAGAAGAGGCAACCCATGTCATGGCTGATAATAATATTATCGGCATTGCCAATGATAGAGCCCTTAACATCAGGGATTATGCTGTTTTTGATCCTAACGCTATGAGTATTGGCATTATCTTGTTAGAAATCACAGCAGCATAATTTGAGTTCAAGCCTATGATGTTCCAAATGCTGCAAACAACTGGTCAATATTACGGTTGCCCACATGAAGACCCTCATTTGCACTTAAGGAAATTTTTTGATGTGGCTAGTATTTTCAAAATTCCAGGCGTGACTGGTGATGCCTTCAGGTTAAGGATTTTTCCTTATTCTCTAAGGGGTAGAGCCAAAAGTTGGATAAATTCCTTGGAGCCTAACCATTGCCTCATGGAATGACCTAGTTAAGAAGTTCTTATCTAAATATTACCTCCTTCTAAGAATGCAAAGATGAGAAATCAGATCACTTCATTTAAGCAAGGAGATTATGACTCACTATTCGAAGCTTGAGAAAGACTTAAAGAATTACTTAGGCAATGCCCTCACCATGGCATCCAGATTCATCAAATGATAAAAAATATGATGACTTCAGAAGTACCTAAACCTGAACATGTGAAGGTAGTTACTGACGTGTCTGCGGTTTCCTGTGTGTACTGAGGAGGTGCACATCTATTTGAGGAATATCCTGCAAATCCTATTTCAGTCAACTATGTTGGCAACACCTATAACAAAAACAACAACTCTTACAGTAACACTTACAACCCCAAGATGGCATAACCACTGTAACTTTTCATGGAGCAATAACCAAGGTCAACTGAAGCCTCAAGCTGCCTAAGCACCACAAGTTCCTCCTGGTTTTGCTGCTCCAAACTATCCATTGGCAAATTAAGGCAACAACCAGTTGGAGAATGTTCGAAATCATTTATTCCAGAGACTAAAAATCAGTTTATAGCACTGTTGCAACTGGTTTTAAATACATAGCCGTCACTACTAGTTTTTATCCTAAGGAAGGGCATCTGAAAACCCTAATTTATAATCAGAGTCTCAATTCGTAGTTCGTATGGGTTTGTGTTTTTTAGGGGTTGGAAAAGTATTTTGAATTGCCTCGTGTTTTGACCAGATGTAAAGATTGCGTAATTTTGGACTAAATGCGCGATTAGTCAAATTATATTTGAAACCCTTTAGCAAAAATTGATTGTTTTAGATTAGTTTATTGCGAAAAACGGTTTTAAGATTTGTTGAATATTTTTTATCATATTAATTGCAAAAAAATCTTAATTAATGCATGATTTAAAAATGTTTAATGCAATAATATAAGAATATACATGAGTTTTTAAATAGAATAGTTTATTTACATGTGATAATAAATAACATATAAAAATACTATAATAATTATTATAACAAAGAAATGAATAATAATAATAATAAAAAGAAATAAGAAAATAATAATATAATAAAAAAATATATCAAAAAGTATAATATAAAATAAATAATAAAAAAATATAGTAATTTAATTAATTCAAGGGGGTGCAGTTTTAATTGAGTAGTAAAAATATAGGGATGTGAGAAGTCAGGGCCTGAATTCAGATATTAAATTCAGGCCCAGTAAGCCTGGAGGGTGTATTTCCATGACCAATAAGCAAAACAGGGGTCTATTGAGAAGGCTGGGCCCAAGTTAAGATATTGAACTGGGCCCAAAGGTTGAGGGAGTGTGTTGTTGTTCTTGTTTCAGTAAAAGGTAGCTAGGGGTGTGTGAAGAACAATTGGGCTCGGCCCAAACCTGTTTTAGAGAAGGTCTGGCCGATCGCGTGTGTGGAAGTGTACGGATCTTATGGTAGACTTGGCCTCCCAGCCATCTGATGAAGATCTAGTGAACCAAATTGAGGGCGTATGCTAACTATTATGCGCGCGCTAGCATTTGATCATTACGGATTAAAACAAATTATTGTTTTCACTTTCACTTTACATTATTTTTGTTTTCGTTTCATAATAATCCTCTGTTATCTCTCTCTTTCTTCTTCCCAAAATTACCAAACCCTAAGCATCTCCGTGGCGGCGCTACCCTAAACGAGATCCTTCTATTTCGAACACCCAACAACCCAAAAACAACAACAAAAAATCTAAGTTCATTACCCTGTGCGTGATTTCTTTTTTCTAACTTCGAACGTTCGGTTGATTCAAGCTAATATCTTCTCTCTGTTTCTTTTACTTGCATATTTTGACGAGGCTTTGAAGATGGTGGCCGGTGGTATCGACGGCGGTGCGGTCACACAATTAGGGTTTCAGATATTGAAACCCTAATTTCTTCTCCTTCGATCTTCAACAAAGAGGTTATTTGGCGTTCTTCTTCTACTCTTTTTCAGTTCTTCCTTTTTGGTTCATCCTCTCTTCTGTGTATTTTTATTTCTGTACTTATAGGGTTAATTTTAGGTTGTTGTTACAATTTGTTATCCTAGATTTAGGGTTTTTTAGAAAAATTAGGGATTGGATCTTTATTGTTGTATTTGATTTCCAATTTGTAATATAATTTACTGATTGGATTTGAATGAGAGTGATTATGTATTCTGAGATTTTCTCTATTTTATTCTGTATATTAAGATTCAAACTATAATGAAGATTGATCTAATTTTGGAATTGATTTAATATTTTTTTAGTTTTTGGACTGTAAAAGATTTGATTTAGTTTGTTCTTAATTTCTACAGTAATAGTTCCAACTGAACATGCGCATGATTTTCTCACTAATCTATACAGTACTCGTTTTTTCCAATTTGGGCTTCGGCTATTAATTGAATTGGGCCTAAAAATACCTAGCCCAACATGTTACCAAAAACAACAACTCACATTTTATTTTGTTAATGCAACCCATATTTTTATTTTGGATACAGATACGGGTTGGGCCTAAAACGGACTTGTTGTACCCCAAAATTTGCCCTCTCATTTATCAATAATTTGCTCACAAGATCTCCTTTGGCTCAAGACTGCACTAGGGTCGATCAACTCAAGACACCTCCTTAAGCACTGATGACCAAAATTAGGGTTTGAGATTGCACAAGGATATTTGAACTTCCAATTTCCCATATGACTTTCAAG